GTTGATTAAATGTTGAAATTATTTTTGTTGAGTGCTTTATTTTTTTTGCAAATCCTCAAACTTAGAGGAATCCGATTCTTTTTTGCCATCAACGAGGTAACACCACGTCATTTAGAAGATAATACTTTAAGTTGCCAATAATAATAATAATAATAATAATAATAATAATAATAATTTGTACAAATTATTAAAAGTGAATTTGTATACTAAATCATGCAACATCAGGTAATAGAAAACAAGATCTACACAACTGTCATTTTCATGACGTTTCATGATTTTATTATGGTTAAATTTTTTTTCTCTCTATTTTAACAAAAAATTTCTTTTTAATCTTTCTATTTAAGAAAGTTTTTTTTTGTCCTTAAGATTTAAAATTCAATCTAATTTTATTCCTTCTATTATTTTTTGTCCCATAACACGTTATCTTAACGAAAATGACTAAAAATGAGCTTTTTAAGTAAAAGGATTAAAGATAAGTTTTCTTCTTTTTTTTTTCAAATAGGGGGACTAAAAAGAGAATTTTTTAACTTTTTTTTAGTTCTTTTACTTTGAAATTTTTATCATTTAATATGTCATGTATACAAAAAAATAATAAAAAGACTAAAAAAAACTGGATTTTAAATTTTAAGAATTAAAAAGAGATTTTTTAAAGTAAAAAATTAAAAGAAACTTTTTATTAAAAAAAAAGAACTAAAATAAAATCTTAACCTTTTATTATCTTATTGTATCGCGTTAAAAGTATATATAACATTATTGCAATGTAAAATTTTTGTTGAGGTCACCCGATGGCACTTCCAAATTGATTAGTTTTTGTCATACCTAATTTTTTTCACCATAAAAACGTTCTAAGTGATAAACTTTTTACATAAATATATATTGAATTGTAAACTAATATAAAATAATTTAATTAAAATTAAAAACATCACATGAGAGGTGATGTTGACATTTAGAATTAAATATTAGAATTCATTACATAGCAAAAATTAAAACAAAAGCACTGCAACTATTTTCCATTCAAAGAAAAATGAAAATTTTGTTAAAAAAGAAAAAAAAAAAAGAAAAACCACACACGCACGCACGCACACATAACAACAGGACTTATCATCTATCAATTTCTTTTTCGGCGTTAGTGGGCTCTTGGACTTTCTGCGATTGGGTGGTTAAGTCTTTCTCAATTCCTTAGCATTTGGAAGGAAAAGATAAAGCCGATAGAGTTAACACTAAAAAAAAAAAACGAAGTAAGAGATAAAAATGTGGTGAGAATGTTATTATTAATCAATTGAAAGACAAATTTTCACTTAAAATTAATTTACCTTAGCATTACAAGAAACTCTGAAAATAAAATATTATCATAAAAAATATTATACATAAAGTATCCATACTGATTCCCAATAGAGGAGGGAAGAAATATATTTTCTCTTAATGTCTTTTAACAATTGATAATCATTAAAATTGATTATAAATTAAACAAAAATTAAAGATAAGCTAACATATTGTATAGTAATAATGATAAGTAAATTTAAAAGTTTATAGTTTGAGAGTTTTACATAATAAAATATTGAAGTGATTGATAAAATTTAAAAAGCATAGTTAAATAATTGCTTGTTCCGATGTCATAAAAAATACCATTTCTATTTGCCTTCGTATTTATGAATAAATTTTTTGAACGATCTTATTTTAAATTATATATACTTTCAGATTAATTCTTCGTCACATACTACATTCAATGAAATTGACTTTGATACTAATTAAATTTAACATTTATGACAGCTAATATTTAAATATAAACTTTTC